TGGCTTGTTTTATGATACAGAAGCAACTGTCAGATGAGGAGCTGGTCTGCCCCTTCATCCTCTCGAGTGATGAGACCCTTCTCTCTGGCAACGAGCGTTTGAAAGCTTGGCCCGTATACCTCACCTTCACCAACATCCCACTCGAACGCCGTCGGCTGGATCATGGGAGAGTGTTGGTCGCACTACTGCCCGTTGCCGACCCTGAAATGGAACCATGGCAACGTGTTGAACTTTTCCAGCGATCGTGTGATATCGTCTTCAAAAGCCTCTTTGAAGTCTGTGGAAGGTAAGCATGACACTCCTGCTACGCCGCTGATATGCCGAGCCCTTCTCACTCTCATGCATCACGCCATGCATGGCTGGAGGTGAGGCCAGTGTGACATGCTGGGCCCTTCTCGCTCTCATGCATCACGCCATGCATGGCTGGAGGTGAGGCCAGTGTGACATGCTGGGCCCTTCTCGCTCTCATGCATCACGCCATGCATGGCTGGAGGTGAGGCCAGTGTGACATGCTGGGCCCTTCTCGCTCTCAGGCATCACGCCATGCATGGCTGGAGGTGAGGCCAGTGTGACATGCTGGGCCCTTCTCTCTCTCATGCATCACGCCATGCATGGCTGGAGGTGAGGCCAGTGTGACATGCTGGGCCCTTCTCGCTCTCATGCATCACGCCATGCATGGCTGGAGGTGAGGCCAGTGTGACATGCTGGGCCCTTCTTGCTCTCATGCATCACGCCATGCATGGCTGGAGGTGAGGCCAGTGTGACATGCTGGGCCCTTCTTGCTCTCATGCATCACGCCATGCATGGCTGGTGGTGAGGCCAGTGTGACATGCTGGGCCCTTCTCGCTCTCATGCATCACGCCATGCATGGCTGGAGGTGAGGCCAGTGTGACATGCCATGCCCTTGTTGCTCTCATGAATCATGCTTTGCATAGCTGTTTCTTATGCCCATGTGTCTCTCATGACTGTTTATCTCGTCATGCATCAATGCATGGCAGGGAGTGAGGTTGCCACGCATGCATTCCTCTCATGATTAGCTCACATCATCTACTCTAATCTCCATTGCTGTCATGTGTCCCCAGTTCCCTGCCATTAACAGACCCGTTTGGGAATGTGTACACTGTATGGCCCAAGCTATACTCGTACGTCGCCGATTACCCAGAAGGGAGCCGTGTGACTAGCACGATGCAACACGCATCGAACCGCCCTTGCTCGGTTTGTTACGCACATAAGGACGACCTTGCAAACATGGATCCAACGCTGTTTCATTGGCGGACTGTGGAGCACCAACAATGGCTCATGACAGCAGACACGAAGACGCGGACCGACTATTCTACACACCCTGTCCCCGTACGTACATTAGAGGCCTCCCCTCACCAGCTCTCGATTCATGTCATGCATTGGTAGTTGGTGTAGGGCAGAGAGCATACCTCCTCCCCTCTCCCTCACCCATGCAGTGGGGGGTTGGGGCAAAGTGGCATCGCAAACACCTCTCACGCATTGCAGGGTTGTGTGGCTGATATGCATGCCTTCCTACCCACACCATCTCTCACGCCGTTTGTTGCACGAAGGGTGTGGGGCAGAGAGGCATACCTTCCTCCCCTCACCCTCACTCACGCCTCTCATGCCTTGGAGGGCGTGGGCCTGAGAGCGTGTGTGTATTTACAGAATCTTTTTGCTATTCCTTCATCTAACCCTTGTTTTGCAGAGCTTCCTTTGGAATGTGAACCGCGCGCATGAAATCCATGAACCTTGGGGCAACCCCTACTTGGCTATCATGCTAGATGTGTTACATGTTGTACTCCAGGGCGTGTGGCGATACATTCTCAAAGAGGTGGTACATGGCGAGGACATTAACGAAATGAACAGGTGGGCTTTCTTTGGTCTCATTTTGCCGGATGGTTTGTCAGATTGTGTCTAGCTGCTACATGCAATGCTCCACGGATGCCTTCATTATTACACCAACCCCTGCCACCTTTTCTCCAAATACAATAGGCGACTCGGCGTCCTAGCGAGGGAGGAGAGGTTCTCCTCGTACAAATTACCCATTGACGGTCACTACTTCAATCCAGGGGCAGGCTATTCTGCATCGGAGCATGCAGCAGTGATTAAGGTGTGTGAGTGTGATTGCTGGTGTCGTCTCTGGTTTACTCCATAGAACCCAGAATTTATTTGTCATTACAACACCCAATGACGTAACCAATCTCTAATCGTTTTGGCACAGGTGGTATTGTTGATTATGTCCGATGGGCTTTTGAAAGCACCAGTCAAGATGGCTGTCCTGCGAAATTTCGTGAAGTGGTTCAATAAATACTTCCGTGCAACCGTCTACCCAGAGAGTCTTTTGCGTGAATTCACTGAAGACACACAAGAGTGAGTCCTCCCTTCCCCCTGTTACACACCTCACTTGTCGCTGTTCCCCACTACACTCCGTGCTTTTGCCCACATCGCTTTCTGTTGTTCCCCTCTTCCTTCCCACTGTTACCCTTCTTCGCTCCCCCCTGTGCACCGCCTCACTTATCCCTGTTTCCCACCTCCCTTCACCCTGATCCCCACATCACTTCCCCCTGAACCCCACCTAACTTGCCCCTGTTCCCAACCTCCGTTCCCCGCTGTTTTCCACATCCCTTCCCCTTTGTTCCCCACCTCACTCCCTTCTTCCAACACAGGATGGTGCGTTTACTCAGGACCAATCTCCCAAGAGCCGGGCATGGCTGGCTTCTAGTCAAGTTGCACAAGCTCGTCCACTTCCCTGATGCTGTTCGACGTGCTGGTGCACCTGGAGAGTACTGCACCGAGCTCTTCGAGAACGCCCACACGACGTCATGCAAACGGCCTTTCCGCGCGTCGAACTACCGTAACTACGACGATGCCATCATGCGTTCCTCTGAAATGAGATGCGCATTGTTGGATTTGCCCTCAGTGTTCAACAACCTCCCTGGACGTGATACTGCGATAATCAAGGTGGGAAAACAAACTCATGGCTGGTGGTAAGAGCCAGCATGGCATGTCGTGCCCATGTGTCTCTTATGCATCATGCCATGCATGGCTGGTGGTAAGAGCCAGCATGGCTCTCATGCCCATGTCTCTCTTATGCATCATGCCATGCATGGCTGGTGGTAAGAGCCAGCCTGGCTCTCATGCCCATGTCTCTCTCATGCATCATGCCATGCATGTCTGGTGGTACGAGCCTGCATGGCTACCGTACCCATGTCTCTCTCATGCATCATGCCATGCATGGCTGGTGGTAAGAGCCAGCATGGCATGTCGTGCCCATGTGTCTCTTATGCATCATGCCATGCATGGCTGGTGGTAAGAGCCAGCCTGGCTCTCATGCCCATGTCTCTCTCATGCATCATGCCATGCATGGCTGGTGGTAAGAGCCAGCATGGCTACCGTACCCATGTCTCTCTCATGCATCATGCCATGCATGGCTGGTGGTAAGAACCAGCATGGCATGTCGTGCCCATGTGTCTCTCATGCATGTGCAATCTCTCCAACCTGCTTCAGGCTGAACGGAACCAAAACCCAGTCCTCACAGCGACAAGCACCGCCATGACACTTCCACACGTTGCTGATGGTCGGAAAGCGGAAAAACTCTGGCAAGGGTTGGTGGAGCTACACGGAAATGCGATGAACGATATCACAACAGCCCTCGCCGTACACGGCTTCCAAAATGACATTGTCCATGTGAGTCCATTACCTAACCTAATGTCGTACGATAAGTGAGAACTCTAACCTTGAAACCCGGCCAATTTTTTTATGTCCACACTCGGTTCGGTTTTTTATAAAGTCCCCACTTTTTCCACCCCAATGCAGGTTCATTCTGCTGTTGCACTCCCAAAGAATGACATGAACGAGGCCCACTATGCAAGGGCAGCCGTGGCTTTCCATGGAAACCCGTGGTTTTCCTATGTATCTCTGGACAGTAACTTGGTCGGTATCCACACCACAGGGGGGCCTCGTGTTGTTTATGCCCAGCTCCTCATGCTTTTCCACGTCCAAACCCGAATTGGACGGGAAACAGAGAAAACCCACTCGCGTACGTGAAGCTACTGGACGTGAGAGGCGAGGATGATGAAACATCCTTTGTGAAATTGTCCAACCGCCGTAGGGCTGAGGCCTATCGCGTCGTGCACATTGATGCCATTTTGAGGGCCGAACATATAGTTCCTCTATTTCAGAGGACCACGCTGACATTGTTGAACCCCTATGCGTGGTGATGAAATGGCCTTAGTCTAAGGTGAGGTAGCTTCTCATGTTGTGTAACAGCTATGCTCGAGTTTAGTATTTATGATTAATAATACGCAACTGTTTAAATACATACGGTAATCATTTAGTGACGGGAACATCCAACCTATCACAACAAATTATTTCATGGAGTTCAGCTGCCTTACGTAGTACGTGAAACTCTAAGTAATACGTGACAACAACAAAGGATGTCTTAAAAATAATTGCAGGTTAGAATATCAAGGCTCATCACAACAAAGGTATGAGTAACAAAAATAAATCATGTTACAATGGAACGGAGATGCTTTTGTGCGGGACAAGTTGGTCTGGTTTTGAGCCAAACCTTCTCCAATCGCTGCTTCTAGGAAGTGTGTCTCGAAACCCTTTTCTTACAGCAGAGTTAGTTCGAAGTGAAGCACCAATTAAAATCGCTCGAATGGTGTCGAGGAAGTTGCGAGGATAAAGTCGAAAAGTATCGACCAATAGAATCGCTCTCAGGGTCCCGCCGAAACTTCCGTGGTGATGCAGCCTACCGAATCCCGAGCCGCGAACGCAGAAAAGTAACCTGCGGGACAGTTCGGGAAAGTACTCTCAGGCAAACCCTAAAAAACATCCCACCCCAACCTCACACATTTTGGGATGTCTCTGAAAATTCTTTCAACACAGCCCACGTCTCCCTGAAGATAGATCCTTCGTTTCTCCTCGTCCGTAACGCTACCCTGTCACACACCCTCCTGCTCCCACAGTGCTTTCAATAGACGAGTGCGAAAATGGCCTATTCTCGGACGGTCGTCGTGTTGGCGCTGCTGCTGCACGCGGCGTGCCTCTCATCGCCGCATCGGCTCGTTGCGGGCTACTCTTGGCCTCTCAGTGAAGCAGCAAGCAGCCGCCGCGAGATGGCCAAGGCGCCTGGTGAGTGTCCCACGGAGTCGCCTGCGCATCATCTCATCGTCGCATCATCTCATCGGCGTGCCTCTCATCGGCGTGCCTCTCATCGGCGCGCCTCTCATCGCCGCATCGTCTCGTCGCGGGCTACGCTTGGCCGCTCAGTGAAGCAAGCCCCACCCGCCGCGAGATGGCCGCCGCCAAGCCGCCTCGTGAGCGACCCACACAGTCGTCCGAGGGACTGCAGCCGTCACTGCAGCCGTCACTGCAGCCGTCACCGCTGTCGTCACTGCTGTCGTCACTGCTATCGTCACTGCTGTCGTCACTGCTGTCGTCACTGCAGCCGTTACTGCTGTCGTCACTGCTGTCGTCACTACAGCCGTCACTGCAGCCGTCACTGCAGCCGTCACTGCAGCCGTCACTGCAGCCGTCGCTCCACCTGTCCCATCCGCATCCGGATCGTCTTGTTTCGTCGCGTTTTGGGGACTTTGATTTTCCCCATGATGCGCCAACTAACCACACGCCCGTGCCCTCCCTCTCCGCTCCCCCTCCCCCTCCGCCGTCCGCCAGTCGAATGCCCCGCCGGCGTGGTGTGCCCCGACGGGGCGTACTGCGTGTTGGACCGCGACGACTTCCCTTACTGCACGTGCCCCTTCGGGCACACCCTAAACGGCATGCCCTATTGCGACCGTTACTACAGGTGGAAAACCGTCGGCACGAGCGTCGTCCTCTACAACGCGCCCTCCTTCGCCAACTCGCCCGCGACCCTCCCGCCGGCCCTGCTGCGCGGCCCGGCGCCCAACTCCTCAGCTTGCACTGTCCTGCCAAAGGGGTTCAGCGGCACGGTGGGGTCGCTGCGGATCCTGTGGAACGTGGATGACGGCATTAGGGATCAAGTTCTGTGCGGCAAGGTGCTGTTCTGGGATAAGAGCGACTCCTCCGGTTCTTCATTCGTGTACGAGATTCCCAGCAAGTGGACGGCCGCCAAGTTCAACAAGTTCACCTACGCCACCACCAGCGTCAAGTGAGTGAGGGGCCAGCCACAAGAGAGTGAGCCCCCAGCCACAAGTGAGTGAGCCCCCAGCCACAAGTGAGTGAGCCCCCAGCCACAAGTGAGTGAGCCCCCAGCCACAAGTGAGTGAGCCCCCAGCCACAAGTGAGTGAGCCCCCAGCCACAAGTGAGTGAGCCCCCAGCCACAAGTGAGTGAGCCCCCAGCCACAAGTGAGTGAGCCCCCAGCCACAAGTGAGTGAGCCCCCAGCCACAAGTGAGTGAGCCCCAGCCACAAGTGAGTGAGCCCCCAGCCACAAGTGAGTGAGCCCCCAGCCACAAGTGAGTGAGCCCCCGGCCACAAGTGAGTGAGCCCCCAGCCACAAGTGAGTGAGCCCCCCCCCACAAGTGACTCGCACTGTCTACAACGTAACTGCAGGGTTCAGGGTGACCTCTCTCTTTGCCTGCGTTGCGTTGACTATGGCTCTGCTGTGTCGACTGCAGCACTGACCGTGACTCTGCTTGTGCTGCGGCCTGCTTGCACCGACTGCACCCTTTGCAGAAAGACCGCTGGCGGGTCTAGGGTGATTACCTTCTCGTGTCTGATGGCCTTCTCGTGTCTGATGGCCTTCTCGTGTCTGATGGCCTTCTCGTGTCTGATGGCCTTCTCGTGTCTGATGGCCTTCTCGTGTCTGATGGCCTTCTCGTGTCTGATGGCCTTCTCGTGTCTGATGGCCTTCTCGTGTCTGATGGCCTTCTCGTGTCTGATGGCCTTCTCGTGTCTGATGGCCTTCTCGTGTCTGATGGCCTTCTCGTGTCTGATGGCCTTCTCGTGTCTGATGGCCTTCTCGTGTCTGATGGCCTTCTCGTGTCTGATGGCCTTCTCGTGTCTGATGGCCTTCTCGTGTCTGATGGCCTTCTCGTGTCTGATGGCCTTCTCGTGTCTGATGGCCTTCTCGTGTCTGATGGCCTTCTCGTGTCTGATGGCCTTCTCGTGTCTGATGGCCTTCTCGTGTCTGATGGCCTTCTCGTGTCTGATGGCCTTCTCGTGTCTGATGGCCTTCTCGTGTCTGATGGCCTTCTCGTGTCTGATGGCCTTCTCGTGTCTGATGGCCTTCTCGTGTCTGATGGCCTTCTCGTGTCTGATGGCCTTCTCGTGTCTGATGGCCTTCTCGTGTCTGATGGCCTTCTCGTGTCTGATGGCCTTCTCGTGTCTGATGGCCTTCTCGTGTCTGATGGCCTTCTCGTGTCTGATGGCCTTCTCGTGTCTGATGGCCTTCTCGTGTCTGATGGCCTTCTCGTGTCTGATGGCCTTCTCGTGTCTGATGGCCTTCTCGTGTCTGATGGCCTTCTCGTGTCTGATGGCCTTCTCGTGTCTGATGGCCTTCTCGTGTCTGATGGCCTTCTCGTGTCAGACAGCCGGCGTGGACGCCAAGGCGCGGTTCTTCTCGTGTCTGATGGCCGTCAACCCGAACGTCACGAACCTGTGTGCCCATGTCCACCCTCTGTGCGCATGTCCACCCTCTGTGCGCATGTCCACCCTCTGTGCCCATGTCCACCCTCTGTGCGCATGTACCGAGTGCAGGAAGACCACCGGCGTGGACGCCAAGGCGCGGTCCTTCTCGTGTCTGATGGCCGTGAAGCCGAACGTCACGAACCTTGTGTGACATAGCGTCGTGCCCGCCTGACTCCACGTGCACCCTCGTGAAGAACGGCTCTTTGGCGCAGTGCACGTGCGGCTTTGGACTCGCCATGGACCCCCAGGGCTCCTGCGTTGGTGAGTGTCGCCAACCTGTGTGTATTGGCGTCGTGCCCTTCTTGTGGCCCTTGCCAGGTCACTGTAATGTTCCATTCACTCACTTTCCCAACTCACTTCTTCTCCCCTCGCTCCCCCTCCCATCACTCACTATCCCAAATCTCTCGCCCCCATCCCTACCTGTCTCTGTTTTTTCCGCACCCTGGTATTCACAGCACCCTCAGAGCATGCTGGTGACGCAATCACATGGACTGGGCAAGACATCATAAACCAGCGAACTTCAAACACCATGCTATTCAATCTGCCCATTTCGTTGTTTCAATGCAGACGCGTGCTCTCTCAAGGACTGTGGCACGGGAGGCTCTTGCGTCATTCTATCCAACGGCAACGCATACTGCAGTTGCAAGCAAGGCTACGAGCAGGAGGGTGTATCGGGCACTTGCATCGGTATGTGTGCTTAGATTGGTGTGTCACTCTCTCCTTCTCTCACTTTTCCCCTTCTTTTCGCTCTTTCCATCTCATTCCTATACTCTTTCCTCATCCTATCCCCGCCCCCCTTCCTCCTCATTCCTCCCCTCTCCCCTCTCCCCCCACCCCCTTCCCCGCTCTTGCTTCCTTGCTCTCCCATGTGAATTACATCACAACCATTTTGACGTATCCCGTATCCACACGAGTCACCAATCCCACTTCTTCTGTTATTTCCCACCCCGTCATTTCCTCAACCCGAAATTCCTCAACCCGAAATTCCTCAACCCGAAATTCCTCAACCCCGATGTTGCCTGCAGGAGAAGGCCAGTGCAAGGACTGCTTTCAGGGCACCTTTGGCCCCAACTCTCTACCATACCCATACTGCGCCCCTGGCTTCAACATGCTATCTGGTGTTTGCCTGCCAGGTGCGTGCTGTAGTTCGTTCGTGCGGGCTATGCATGCCTTTTGAGATGACTCAAAACACTTCTTCAGGGCACCTTTGGCACCTACTCTCTGCCATACCCTTACTGCGCCCCTGGCTTCAACACAAATTCTGGCGTTTGCCTGCCAGGTGGGTGCTGCAGTTGGTGCGGTGCGGGCTATGCCTGCCTTATCCCATGTTATTAACTTAACGGAGTAATACCTACCATGCAGTTGCTGCTTCGCCATCATTTGAGGGAAACATGTAGTGCCAGCACATTCCTTGCATCTTCCTTGCATCTTTCTAGCAGTCTTACACCACATCTTTCCGATCGAGTCTTTCCCTGCAACACTCCCTGCGTCCCATCCCCCTCCAACACCCCCCGTTGTCCAATCCCCTGACCGTGGCTTGACTTGTGTTGACACCAATCACCTTGCAGGAGTGCTTCCTGACGTGGCAGACATGACAATCAGCATCTACAGCTCCATCAGCTTTGGCACAACGAGTCCGCCTTATGTCTTCCGCCTGAAGCCAAACAAGTGTGTAACCGTACCCGCGGAGGTGGTTACCAACATGCGGTCCATGGGCATTCTGTACCGTGCTCCTGGCACCAACATGCGGTGCGCAAGACAACTGTACTACGATCTGCCCAACTGCGCTGGGATCCCAGCGAATTCCAGCGTGCCCGATGGCAATGACCTTTACGCAGTGCCCATTCCGTGAGTCTCTCTCTCTCTCTCTCTCTCTCTCTCTCTCTCTCTCTCTCTCTCTCTTGCTCTTGCTCTCTCGCTCTCTCTCGCCCTCTCGCTCTCTCGCTCTCTCGCTCTCTCCCTCACTCTTCCTTTGGGTCTGCCTCTATGCACCCGCCCTCCAGTGCTTTGGCTTCCCTCTCATTGGCCCTCAACTTGTCGCCCTTTTTTGCCATTATTCTGCATCGTATGCATGGACGCTCAAATATCCACGCTCTGCAAATATTGATCTTGCTCTCAACAGGGATCTCCGCACATGGAAGCCCCAGTCTTTCATGTGCTCTCTCTGGTAACGTGGAGGCTCTGGCTGGAAGACTTCAAGTTTTGACGCCCAGCGACAATCTGAAGTGAAGTTGGAAGTTTTGAAGAAGGCTGTGAAGGTCGATATCAAGCTGCATTGCATTGCATCGGAAGAAATGTCTTGGGGTCATAACTTGTACCGTGGTTGAACCCTTTTCAAAACACGGAAGTTATTGGCTAGGAGTCTCCTGTCCCTCCCTCCCTCTTCCCCTTCATCCCTCCCTCCCTCTCTCCCTTCATCCCTTCCTCCCTCTTCCCTCCCTTCCTCGCTCCCCCTATACTGCTCTGTCGTGCTCCTGCCCATGGCCCTTACTCTCCCTTTTCTGTTCAGTAGAGTAATGTTAGAATAACCAGGCAGGAATGAATGAGTGAACTAGGCAAGAGGTGAGTACAAGTAGGGGAAACCTAACCCTAAAGTGTTGTACTCCCTAAGGAGTGACCCTACTGTAGCCTAGAGATACAATTGTAATTTGACACACCCCCATAGGCAAAGTAGGGGACAGCAAACACAACAAGCGGTCACAAGACCAGTCTGCAGAAGAGAACATAGCTCAGGGTGGATCACACAGTCACCACGCATTCTGAGCACAAGCAAGCGGCCACAAGGCCAGTTCACATGCAGAGGTATATAATAGCAAGGCAGTACACTGATCACAACCTAGCAAGAGTAAACAAGCAGGTATAAGATAAATAGCAGTGTACAACAACAGCAAGTCAAGCAACCAGCAGGTGAGGCAGAGTGTGCACAAGCCCAAGAGCAGTGCAGAAACGGTGATGATCACCAGACCCAAGGGCCTTGGTGAAGACATCAGCAGTGTTGGCCCGAGAGGCCACGTAAGCAAGGCGCAGCTGACCACGCTGCTGCAGCTCACGCGCAAGGAAGTAGCGAAGAGCAATGTGCTTCGTTCTGTGCTCCAGTCTCTGCTCGCGACACAAGGCAAGCATTGCCTTGTTGTCGACGTACAGAACTGGAGGAGAACAAGGCCGCTCCCCCAAGTCAGTCAGCAGGTAGGTCAGCCAGCGTAGCTCCTGTGCAGCCATGGCCCCAGCGTAGATCTCGGCCTCACAGCTGGAACCAAGCACAGAAGAAGAACGAGTGGACCTCCACGAGACAGAACCAGAGCCAAGACTGAAGGTGTAACCCTGTGACGATCGCTGAGTCGTCTAGTCGTCGGCCCAAGAAGCGTCAGAGTGTCCTGTGAGGACCACCGAACCCCGTCCTCCAAGCACGAGCCCCATGCCCGATGTGCTGCACAAGTAACGCAGTACCCTCTTCGCAGCATCAAAGTGCACCTTTCGGTGTCTACCGGGTGCCACGTAGCGAGCCAGGAGGCTGAGAGGGTACGCAAGGTCAGGTCGTGTGCACGTCATCAGGTACATGAGGCAACCCACAAGCTCTGGGTACGGACCACTCGGCTCTACGGACTCGTCCGAAGGTGGAGCTGAGAGCGAGTGGCCGGTAGACAGAGGAGTGGGCTGTGGCGAGGACCACGTGAAGCGGAAGCGCTGAAGGACCTGCTGCACCATGTGTGACTGAGTGAGGGTGATGGTGCGCCGTGCTCTGTCCCGGGTGATCTGCAAGCCAAGATAGCTCCTCAGCTCACCCAGGTCAGTGCAGGTGTGTCTCTCCTGCAGCTCCGCCTTCACTAGGGTCAGTGCCTCAGTGTCAGCAGTAGCAAAAACCAAGTCGTCGACGTACACGAGGATGTAGAACGGTGGCAGAGTAGTGTCGGTGCGTAGAAACAGCGAAGGTTCAGCCGTCGAAGGAGCAAACCCAAGAGCCGCAAGTGTCGTCCTCAGTGTGTCGTGCCACTCGCGGGGCGCCTGACGCAGGCCGTACACTGGTCACCGTAGGCTCCACTGGGTACCCTCAGGAAACGACTCAGTGAAGCCCTGTGGACGGCGCAACCAGATGGCCTCGTGAAGGCTACCCTGCAAGAAAGCTGTCGAGAAGTCAAGGGAGTGCAGCTCGTAGGCACGCTGAGCTGCAACGTGTAGCTACACCCGAAGAGTGGTCATCTTCGGGGTGGGGGAGAAGGTCTGAAAGAAGTCGACCCCCTCACGCTGACTGAAGCCTCGAGCAACGTAACGTGCCTTGAAGGCAGGCGGAGAACCCGGCGGCCGCTTCACCCTGAAAGTCCACATGCCACTGACGATGTTCGCCCCAGGTGGGGGAACCTCGTCGACGTAGGTGCCTGTGGACTTCCAGGAAGCCATCTCTGCGTCCATGGCTGTCTGCCACTGAGAGGAGTACTCACCCGAAATCGCCTCCCTGTAGGAGCGCGGGGTGGGGATGTCAAGTGCATCCGAGTCTCCCTCAGGGGCAAGCAGCATGGTCGCGTGATGGGGTGAAGCGGCCGCAAGGCACTCCAGCTCCTCCTGCCTGTCCTCAAGAACGTCACAGCCAAGGGCAGTACAGCCAAGAGCAGTCTCACCCCCGACGGACGGAGGACAGGCAAGGGCAGGGTCAGAGACAAGACTCGCAAGGTAGTCGAGGCGATACACAGCAGCAAAGTCAACGAGCTCACCTACTAGGGCAGACGCAGCAGGAGACGAGAACGTAGGGTCCGTCACAACCGTAGCAAGAAGGCGAGTAACAGTCGGACTGGACGCACGAGCAAGGTCAGACGGAGGGTCAGCAACGTAAGGCAGAGAGGACGCAAGAGGTAACGGTAGGACAACACGCTGAGGAACAGAGGAAGGACGGAGTGTCATATCGTGAGTGCCGGGGACAGCCAGAGCACGCGGACGACGAGTACGAGAAACACGAGCACGGACAGCAACTCTAGGCTCAGGCTCAAGGTCAAAGTTAGACTCAGGCTCTCGACGCTCAGGGGTGGAAGCACGAGTCTCAGGCTCTCGACGCTCAGTCAGGGACTGTGTCACCGCAGTGTAAGGAGCAGGAGCAGGCAGTGGGGAGTGCAGTAGCAGCGGCGGCTGTGACTGGTACGCCGGTGGAAACAGTAACGGAGGAGT